CTGTTGGAGTGTAAATACTGTCAGCGTCCGCTCCACTTCTTACGCTTTTAGTTATCTGAAAAAAGAAATAATAATGAAGTTTATCACGAATAATACTAGCGAAAATCTGTCTAGATTGAATGGTCGAGAATATGACTAAAACTATTCTAACCTCTATATTACTTATTATTGTCATTATACCTACACTTTGTAGTTAATTGAAATATAATTAATAATTCTTAACCACTTGTATTTATTGTTTTTTAAGTAGGGTGAGGTATATTTATGAAATGGCTATGCAGATGCAAAAAATATACATACCTTTAATTTCTCCGACTGGTACTGCGTTCGCAAACCATTTATTTTTTTCTTAAGGTCTTCTTCAGTACAATGAACTTCAAAATCTTCGTAGATTCGTCTTGCTATAGTTCTATATATCTCAGAACGTTTTGTTTTGTTTTGTTTTTATAATGTTGATGCTTGGTATTGTAAAGGCACTAGTTACTTTCATAAGCATTTATTAAAAACTTAGTCATTGGAATCGTCCACGATATCTTGTTTGCAGCCATTTTTAATTAAATGTCATTAATATTTGATCAAATATCGGTGTTGCCAATACATTTGATGAAGTCGTCCAATTTCTTTGATCAAATGTACATTGGACCAAGATATTTGATAAATGTAATACCACCCTTATCTATATGCATGTAAAACAACCCATACCCAGAGCAGGAAAAATGTCGCAAAGAATTTTTTATTTTAGTGAAAAATTTCGGTCCTATTTTGGTTAAAAGCGTGTGCTTTAAAAATCAGCTCAGCAAAAATATTTTAGCAATCAGATTCAACGTTGTCTGTAGAAAAGCACTTAAGCTTACTTTATTGCAAAATTAGAGCTAATATTGCTTATAAAAACATCGAATTATGACTTGTTTAGAGCAGCGAAGAAGTATCCACAACCAGGCCTTAGTTTAAGCAAAAAGTTTAAAGCAACACAACATTGTGTGAAAGATTTGAAAACGTCTTCTTGTGTACATTATTTAAAATCAAAATCTATATCGAATGGAAGAAGAGTGGCGACAATTTTATTACGGATTTCTTAGTGTGAGTAGTATGCGCATATTATGAGTGTTAATCGTGCTATGAAAAATAAGCTTGAGTACAAAAATTAACAGTTACAACATAACTATTAGAAGGAATCCCGGTGCATGCCTCATTTTAGTGAAATGGGTTCAGTAGTTAAAATGTGATGGAGTAACACAACGTCAAAGTAAAATCATCATCATCGCTCATAGCCCTAAAATAAAAAAAAAGATTAATCTAAAGAAAATATAACTAGAAAAAATTCCTATAATGCGAAGAGATGGCGCTGCCTTGCAGCTTAAGAATAGCTAGAAAGAATTTCGACGCGGTCCGTGAGGGCCGCGGTAGCATAATTGGTCAGTGCATTCGCCCGGATTGCGAAGGGTGCGGGTTCGAGTCCCGTCTGCTGCCTGGTCCGCGTGGAATTTTTTCTAGTTATATTTTCTTTAGATTTAAACATCAAGCAGTTACATGCTTTAAAAATAATAAAAATTATAAAAAGATTAATGTTAGTGTGAAATGATGACATACCTCTTTCAGAAATGCTCCGCCCAGTGAGTGCTTCAATGATTGATTCAGTGAAATCTTTCTTCAGCATTTTATTATTAGTATTATACATATTAAAAATTATCCAGGCGTTCACAAGAGAAGTACCAAATAAAAATTCTGCCATAACTTTTCGATACCATTTTAGTCCCCGTTTCAAAGTCGTCTAATAAGATGACATTTGGTCACTGTAGTCAATACCTATCTTGTTTTCATTATACAAAAGGACGCATGAATGCTTTTCAATTTTCTTAGGTAGTCCTCTACGGTTGGATCGGAGGGTACCACAATAAAAAGTTTTCTTTGCTAAAAGTTCTTCGGCCAACCCAACAGAGGAGTAGAAATTGTCAGCAACAACAGTACGACCCTCATTTTCTAGCCCTCTAATTAGTCTCAAAACAGTCTTTTTACCGTGGTCTTGTTCTCGGTTATTACCTTCTTTACGTGTATAAATAAGTGTATTATATGTGTATCCCTCAGGAGTACACAATTTATATAATTTGACTCCATATTTATGTGACTTATTTTTTGTATATTGACGGAATTTAAGTCGTCCCGCGCCAAGCTATCATCGATTCATCAATTACTATAATTTTTCCAGGATGAAGCACTTGTTGAAATCGAGAATTCAACATTTCGTGTATTTGGCGAATTTTGTATAATTTATCTCCAGTGTTATCAATTGATTCGTCGCAAAAATGCCAAAATTTTAATAGAATTAAAAATCTGTCTCTGTATATTGTGGAGCAAATGTACTCGTTTCTATATATAGTCTTTTTTGACCAATAGTCGTTAATATGCGGTACTGTGTTTAGGCCCATTAGAAGTATGACTCCAAAAAATCTTTTCATCTCACTTTCATCTGTGGGTTTCCATGCTTTAAGACGAGATTTTGCCTTTATGTCATCTTGGTTGTCTTCGAAATACTTTTCTGCATATTTGTTCGTGTCTCGTACAATTTTATTTATAATTTCATCTGTTAAGAACAAATTACTAAGTATCACTTGTTTGTGATTGCTCTAATCTTCTGTAAGAGTCTTCAATATATTCCGCAGTAGAATTACAATTTGTAAAAGCCTTTACACAAGCGCCAATCAAAGCTGAAGAGTCATCTAAATTAATTTCATTTGGAACGGGGTTGCACTTGCTCCATGCCAGAAGCTATTGACATATTGTATCCAGTTTGGCTTTCTGATATCATTTGCGAAACTGGTACAGAACTTTCATTTTTTATTTGTTTCATTATTAGTACGTACAAAAATAAATGTTTGGTTAATATTAATCTATGTTTTGGACCAAATTCTTTGAAAATACTGCCAGTAGCATCCACACTTAAATCTATTCTTTTTTCTATATTTTTTACACAAATCTTCTTGAAGGGGGGTCCAATAGTACAAATAAAATGGATGTAAAGAAATATGCTTAATAGCTTCCCTATAAGGACTGATGCTAGTCATTATCCAGAGTGAAATTATCTGATTTTTATCGTAATTTGAAATTTGTTTTTCTGCATATTTAATTTGCCTTAGAGCACCAACAGTTGGCAAATGTAGCGGTTCAATATCATCACTATTCATCATTTTATGAGCTAGAACATTGCGATATTTAATAGATTACTCGTGTTTCAGTTCTGTTGATATATCTACTCGTTTTCCTGGTGGTATTTTAATTTTTTTGACAGGGCGATGAATAAACGAATTCTTAAAATCTGTAATTGTACATACACATCGGGCAATTTTATCAATAGGCCAAGTAATTACAACTAGCAATGATGCGTTGCATTGTTTACAAAGACTTTTACACGTTATTTTGACCTCATTCATAATAGAATATTGCTTGAAGATCCAACAGCATGGTTTCCTCGTCGCTTTCCAAATTTCTTCTCGTAGTATGTGAGCCCACATGTGTTTAGGTAAACGATATTTCTTTTTTATGGCAGACTTAGAATTTAGTGTAACTTTCATGTGCTTACTGATTGGCCGAATCTTCTCCCACTGATACAAATCTATCATAAACTCAAAATTAATTGACTTAAAGCTTGAATCTCCAGTCAGTGTTTTTAATTCTTTGGGACTATCTTCATCACAAGCATCCACTTTGTCAAAAAAAAACATTTAAAATTCTTTTTCACAGATAAATATAATGCTTTTTCGGAAACAGGACATGGTAGCATATTTTTGATTTCACTAAACACAGGATCTGTTGATGTAGGAAGTTCATTTACACTAGGAAAAAATCGTCTGTACAATAAACCTTTTTTTGGTCCATTAAGGGATTCACAAATTTCCTTCCTCCTGGCATTATTGCAGTGATCTATTTATTACACTGTTACACTTTATAATTGTAAATTGTACGTATCGAGACGCCCGAAAATAAGCTACTATATGAAGGACTGGACACAAAGCGGACTGGATATAGCGGATGTATCTTCTGAAAGTTTCTCTTTTAGTTCTATAACCATTTTACTGTAATTTCTCTTATAAGACATAAATGGGTGAATCAACTTTTTTTTGTTTTTCCTTGTCCCAGGAGTTCAATAATTTTTTTACATATGAAAAAGAGTAAATTCTGCATTTGTTATATAAGTAATATCGACTTAGATCAATGAACAATAACTTAAGCAATCAACAGTGAACATTTTCATTTATTTCTTGTGTTTTTGGTTGGGTACCCAGTGGACATTTTCGGGGTCCCATACAAAAATCTGCTGTCCCCACAGCAACTTGACTTTACATTTCGAACTCTGATGTAAAAAAAATGTATGACGACCTTCAAATGTTATATGGCATCATAAACAACAAAGTCTATTGTTCTTAATTTATGTAGAAACAATCAAGATTTTTTTTTTATTTATTTCATCAATTACATCCTAAATATGCGTCCCTATCAGAGTAGTGATTTTAGTGTCCCCTTGCTTACTCAACATTTAGATCGTATTATGAAGTAAAATGGCACCACGGCTGGTTAGACCAATCAAGAAGCGTTCAAGATCTCACGTGATCCAGTTCGTGATCCCCGTGACTGTTAATTAACTCGGCCATTTCGTCCGCGGTCAAAAGTGAGGTCGGGTGTGTTTTTTGCTGTTCCGCTGGGAGACGACGTACAGTGGCGGATTTACAAATTTTCAAGGTATAGGCTGTGAAGCTTTTGCCGCCCTTGCCTCCACAATTGTTAAATTGTCATGTCCTAGATTATTTTTACAATTCAACAACTTAGCTTAAAATAATTTTTAGGTATATTTTTGAGCTAATTAAAGCTCAATCATGTAAGATTTGGAAGGCGGGGTAATGCATGCTACTTACACAATTGGTAGACGTGAATAAACAGAATAAGTAATCTTTATTGCGTTTACAAACAGTTGAAAATACTTAATTAAGTAAATTTATAAAATTACGTTACAATACTTTTTTGCGTGATTTTTTGTTGGCAAAATCATCGATGATATCGTCGTACGTGATTTTGTTCATCAATTCTGACTCTATGCACAAAAGAGCTAAAGCGTTTAATTTTTCTTGGCTCAAGGTCGATCTCAAATAATTTTTAACCCTTTTTAAACAAGAAAAACTTCTTTCACCCGAACAATTCGTCGCTGGTGTACATAAGGCCATACGAAGGGCTATGTCCAAGTTCGGATAAACATTCTGCAAACTCTGTTTTCGCAGAAACGAAGATAGACTTTGCAACGATGGAGAATCTGGTTCCACCAGAATGCTTTGCGAAGAAATGTGGCTTCGAAAATGTATGCATTCTTGAACTAATTCAGTCTCTAAATCATTAGGATACATTTCTTCTAAAGACCGAGCCTTTTTCGTAAGGGTTGATGATGACAATTCGCTCATTTTGGTCAGAAATGAAAATTTTTCATTGAAATTGTCGTACGCCTTCTTCCTTTTTTCCAATTCGGATGCGAGTCTATCAATGATGACGAGGAATGTGTTAATTCTGAAAGTATCATTCGCGGTCATACTTATTTCTTCCTCGGGTGTTTCGTCAGCATTTTTTTTTCTTTTCGGTTGTCTTTTTCCGAGGTCTTTTGAGTACTGCTTCGACGCACTTAATTCCATCGCCATTTCTTCAAAATACTTGAAGTTTTCCCGTTGATCCACGAAAAACTTGCGGAGAGATTCATAAAGATCGGCTACGGTAATCAAATCGACGGTAGAAGCCTGGATTTGAACATTTACTTTGTTTATTCTTTCCAAAAAAACGTTCCACACAACAACCATTAACGCCGTTTCCAGTTTGTTCAACTTTGAGAGAATTCCCGTTGCTTCGTTTCTTGTGACTGGCAGGCTTCTCCGTGCAATCGTCCCTGATTACTTCCAAAGCTTTAATGACTTCGTGCCACGAATCTCTCAAACTTTTACACGCATCCTCTCTAGCTGACCAACGTGTGAGGTTTACTCTCTTGACTGTTTTGCCTTCTCCAACTTCCGAATCTTCATCAAAATCTTGTGTCGAACTTGAAAAAAAAACGTATATTTCTTGGAGCAACATAAAGAATCGACAAGCTTCGGTGCACGATTCAGCAGTCGCTGTTGTTTTAAAAGGCTGTATAATTTCACAACTTTGTCTAAAAAAAAATAAAAAAGTTTAACGTGGTAGCAGAGCGTAGTTGCGCCAAACAAATCTGAAGAACGTAAAATCATAAAAACCGAAGAAGCATTGTAACATGGATAACCTCAAAAACATAGAAAGGTTAGTTGATGAGAAATCATTTCCATTATGGAAATTCCAAATAAACATTTTATTGAAAAGCGAAGGGATAATAGACCTGATGCAGTCAGGCATTTCCGCTCATAAAAGAGATGAAAAAACAATCCAACTAGATGCACAAGCGCAAAGAATAATAACTAGTACTATTGATAAAAAACTGTTGTCTACATTATTGTCTTGCGAAAATTCGAAAGCTATGTATGACAAATTACTTGCCATCTATGAGCGAAATTCCGACCAAAAGAAATGTCAGTTGCTACAAGATTTTTTTATGTACAAATAAAGATATGACGCATCATGTTGGCATTCTAGAAAACATTGCCCACCAACTTAACAGCTTGGGTGAAAAAATCAATGAGAAAATGCTCATATCAAAAATATTATCAACGTTGCCAGATCAATAGAGACATTTTTTGACAGCATGGGAATCCACTCCACTCACTGAACAAACTATAGTAAATTTAACTGCCAGATTATTAGTGGAACATCAGAGATCTAGAGACATGAATGAAATCCAAAATAGTACAGCATTTAAAGTCACACACAAAAAATTTCGAAACAATAAAAAACATTGCTCAATTTGCAAAAAAGACAATCACATGGAAAAGAATTGCTACTTCAAGAATAAAACACAGTGTACAATTTGTAACACTATTTTAAGTCTTACAAAGAAAAGAAAAAAAAAACAAAAATAAACATGTGAAACGAAACGCATTCACAAAAATACATTAAAATGTTAAAAGCAAAAACATGTTTTATGTTACAAAAAAAAAAGAAAAGAATTATTAATAAAAAACAATACCTAAAGATTTGGCTGTATGGCCTGGCACTTAGCCTTCAACACAATGACAATTATTTATGTATAAAAAAAACTCTAATGTCAGTTGTCAATGACTTTTTCCATGACAACAATTATTGTTTGTTCAAATAACCTTAAACAGTGTATTTAGATTTGATAACAACAAAAAAAAACAGTGATTTAACGTGGGTTAACAAGATTAAAATGCAATTCATAAAGACGACGACAAATATAAGATACCTGAAGACTGTTTGTTAAAAGAAAAACAATAGTCCAAATAAAGAAAACATACGTTTCGGTTTCAACGTTAGTAATTACAATACTACACTGCTACTTCTTGGACACAGCAGCTGCCCGTTTACCTCTTGTCGCCACCTTTGATGCACCAGTATTTTTTACTGGATCAGCAGATTGTATGACCGGCATAGGAATCTTGTCCAGTTCAACAGCCGAAGTAATGCGAACTCGCTTGCCGTCTGCACCAACAACTATTATTACTCCATGTTGAGTAAAACACCGGCCAATACCGAATTTTGCAGCGAGCTGCCATAAAAGCCTCATGTCGTGTCTTCTTCTGAAACAAATACTTCTTTGATGTATTCTCTGTTGGCTTTTGGCACCCATTTCATTTTGAAAAAGGGATAAGATACTGATGCTATTATGCCATCTTTTGCTTTTGGCTCTTCTATTTTATAAAATCTCTCAAAACGCCTATTAAGACTTTCTGTAATAACATCTATTAATACATCACAATATGTAAGGTTATCCATTTTCAAGCTGCTTAGAATTCTTTGCATTCTCATCAGTTCTGGTAAAAGACATCCATAGTAAGTATCTTTGTCCCCTTCTAAACTTCTGATGCCATCAGCAATAGGCTTTGAACAGCTTACATATTCAAGAAGAAATTGAATTTTAATTTCTTTAAAAATAGGCAACCCTAGTTTCTTAAAAGTTTCATTTAGGGTACCCTTGACTGCCAATAGATCTTGAATGCAATTATAGTATGAATTCCATCTTGTTGGACATGGATAAGTAGGGGATTTTCCAGTTGATTCCAGATATATTTCACAGGCTTTAGGGGACCTCGAACATAGATTCCAAACTGCTCGACATTTTGCCATAGCTGTATCATACATTTTTTTGTATGAATTACTTTGGGATCTAGCCTTATCCATATCTTGTGAAGCTATTAAATGTAATGTGTGTGTGGCACACCTTTCATGATTAGGCAGTTGCAACTCATCGAATTCTTCAAATGACTCCGAAAATTGTCTTAGGGTTAACACATCATCATCATCATCATCATCTCTATCGTCAATATTATCATGCATTACATCAATATTTTGCATAAGAGTTTACTTATTCCTGTATCTGAATCTTGTCCATATATTCTAAAAGCTTTGACGATATTTGATCCATTGTCCGTAATAGTCTTTATTATTTTTGACAGTTTCAAATCAAATTCAGAATGAATCTCTGCAATCAGCTCAGCTACTTTATCATAACTATGTGTTCCCTTGAATCTTCTGCAAGCCAAAGTTACACTTTTCCGATTAAATTTATCACAATCAATCCAATGAGCAGTTACCCCTAGATAACTTCTCTTAGATCAGGGGTGGCCAACTTGATTGGACCCAAGATCTCTTGTTCACTAAAGAGACCCTGTGCGATCTACCAATTACATACTTCTAGAAATTATAAATAAAACAGCATAGTTCAGTATATACACTGTATGCATATTATACTATACAATACACAATCATGTAGCATTTTTACTTTATTAAGAGAAAAAATATAAATGTGAAAATTATACTTAGTAACTTATTTTACATATATATTAGTGTGAGCATTGCGTCTGAGTATAATAATAATAATATAATAAAATACTTTATTGCAATTATATGAGCATAACAATTTGTATACCTACATAAACATGGGGGTACTTAAAGAACTTAGTATCTTCCACTAGTTTAGCATAATCAGGTTTGTAGTTGGAGATTGCCAACCTTAAAGAATCCAATGTATGAGCGTCTGTCAAGCGAGAACGGTGTTTACTTTTTGTTTGCTTTAAGTAGGAAAATGCTGACTCACATAAATATGTTGAACCAAAACACGAATGAAGTTGTTCAACACATTTCTTCAAATTTGGATATTTTTCATCGGAAACCAATGCCCAGAAATCTTGACCTGAGGATGACCTTGCTTTAAGAAATATGTCGCAGCGCAGAGTAATAATTTCGTTTTGTAACATCATGTGCTCCATTTGAAATGTATCTGCAAATTTTGAAGCCAATTCATAGATATCACTATTATCAATGGAATCATTGAACAGATAACTGATAAATTGAATCAAGTTCTCAATTTTTCTGAAATCACCAAAGCGAATTTCGAAGTCTGCTACCACTGCCCTAATTTCTGTCGTATATTTCTCAGAAATGAAATTGTAGGTAGGATGTTTTTCCATATGATCCTTGATGTTAGCAAATTGTTCAAATTTTTTCTTCTCTATGTCAACTATCATAGACGCTGTTTGACATTGAAACGCTGCAATAGAACTCATCATTTCTGTTAATGTTTTATTCTTGCCTTGTAGATTCAGATTTAATGTACTCAATTTTCCAGTAAAATCTGCCAAAAAAGCTAAATCACATTGCCAGTCTAAATCACACAATTGCTGATAATCATCACCCCTTTCATCAAGAAATTTTATTATTTCGTCCAATAGATCTCGAAATCTTTGCAAAAACTTGCCTCGACTCAACCACCTCACGTCAGTGTGCATTGCCAATTCTGGTTCCTTCTCATCTAATTGCTGTTTAAAGAGCCGCCTTTGGAGGGATTTTCCCTTTATGGAATTTACAATCTTAAAAGAAATATCCATCACATGTTTCGTGTTTAATCTCTTACTAGCCAATACTTGTTGATGAATTATGCAGTGGTAGCTAATGAAGTCTGGGAAATCTTCGTCTTTGCGACAAAGAGCAATAAAACCATTATGAATACCTGTCATTGCAGGAGCTCCATCAGTTGTCATTGATACGAGTTTATACATGCATAGCTCAATCTGGCAAATATATGCTTTGAATTCTGTGAATATATCAAGGCCACGAGATTTTCCTTTTAAGGAAATCATACCTAGCAGTTCTTCTTTGGTCGAAAAATCTTTGAAGACCATCCGAATAAAAACAAGTAATTGTGCAGTATCAGTGACATCTGTTGACTCGTCAAATTGAAGCGAAAAAGCAACGCAGCGGGTGATATCTTTTTGTAGTTGTTCGTTTAAGTTTTTACTTATTATTTCTATACGGCGCATCACAGTATTTCGCGACAGCTGTAATCCATGAAAAGCTTTTTTAATTTCGATTTTATTTTTGAAATTCACAAACAGCGAATCTGACACTTCTTCGAAGATTTCTTTGATGTATTCTCCATCGGAAAAAGGTTTGCACTTTTGTGCAATTCTGTAGCTGACTTGGAAAGAAGCTTCAGTTGCAGCTTTACTTTGCTCAATAGGCCCAGAAAACATGTTTTCTTGTACTTTTAATTGCGATTTCAGTGCTTGCAATTTACTCTTTCTTATTTCGCTGTTAGGTGGAAAGTCAGTCTGATATTTACTATGCATTGTGTTAAAATGTCGCTCTAAATTTCCTTTTTTGGGCATTGCCAGGGATGTATTGCATATTAGGCAGCAACAGTTTTCTTTCACCATAGTAAAGAAGTAGTCCAATTCCCATTCTTGGTGAAAATGATAGGCTTTTGATTTTTTTGGAGCACATTTATCAAGAATCTGTAAAAAATTAAATTAAAATCTTAGGAAGATAATTTGTATTCTTATACAAATTATTTGTTCTTACAAATGTAGAAATCCAATTTAATAAAAATAAAATTCCAAATGATGGCACAAAGTTAACGAGCGAACAATATTTTCTAGTTTTTTACCCACTTACTAGGTGGATAATTTTGTAGCGGTCGAAACTCACCATCATTTCGCAAAGTCGGTTAACAAGAAAACCGAACTTCAGCGCATGGGTGTACGCGGCCGTCTATTGTTTGTAACTACATTCACAGAGGAGGTGCGCGGGCGCGGGGCGAGCCAGCGCCGCCGCCGCCAGCTACACACAGCAGACGGCCACGCTCGGCAGTGCTAAGACGATTACGGCGGCGAATGCACGCTCAAAAATTCGATCCGCCAGTACAAAAAATTCCGTGACTATTTACATAGGACGTATGCTAAAGTGTACCGTGCGCAATCACAGATGTAAACATTGTCCCAGTGCTTGAATACCATACGCGAATAATTAAATATATAAAGCTGTGTATCTTGTACTGCAATAAATATTTCATTTAGTAAGTGCCGTGCCTAATTTATCTGCCTAAACCAGCTATATATTGGTGACCCCGACGAAGGCAACCTTCTGCAACGAACATAACGGAGTCGATATTCAAAAATGGATGGAGTTAAAGAGCCCTCAGGCACCGTCGAAACTTGTAAGGTAGGAATAAAAGCGCCACCATTTTGGCCGGAGGAGCCAGCGCTTTGGTTCGCACTTATGGAAAGTCAATTTTCGTTAGCTGGAATAACGTCAGAAGCTACAAAATACAGTCATATTTGCTGGGCACTGGATCAGCAGTACGCTAAGGAGGTGAAAGATATTATAAGCAACCCGCCGGCGGAAAACCGTTACACAAAATTGAAAACAGAATTAACTAATCGGTTGTCAGCTTCGCAAGAAAAAAAGGTCTTACAACTTGTGAATCATGAAGAAATGGGAGATCGTAAGCCGTCACAGTTCCTGAGGGATCTTCAATCGTTGGCTGGATCGTCTGTGACAGATAAGTTTCTACAAACTTTATGGACAGATAGGTTACCTACTAACATTAGAACAGTAGTAGCAACGCAAAAAGCTACGCCATTAGAGGAATTGGAGGAGTTAGCGGACAAAGTTTATGAGATTGTACCCCCATCCCCACAAGTTTCGATAGTAGATCAACAACAAATTATTACTAGTAATTCGATTAATACGAACACAATAGTAGAACTTTCTAGAGCTATGAGTGAACTAACCCGCGAACTGGCATCGCTGAAATGTCAAGTAAACAGTATTCAGGTTGGTCATTCAAATCAACGTAGATCAAGATCAAAATCGAGGAACAGGTACTACCATCAGCGCCACAAGTCTAGATCTAGTTCTCGAGACCCTAATATCTGTTGGTATCATCACAGATTCGGCAACCGATCAACAAAATGCACGAAGCCATGCAAGTTCGAAGCTTCAACGTCGGAAAACTTCAGGGGCAGCCGGAAGTAGCGGCCAACGACTGCCAGGCAACAAAGGGCCGCCTTTTCGTAGTGGATCGCAGCACAAAAATTAAATTTTTGATAGATACCGGCTCTGATTTGTGTGTGTACCCTCGAAAATTACTTCGTGACCGCCGCGTCAAGACAGAGTATAAATTGTTTGCTGCAAATAGTACAGTCATTCCTACATTTGGTTGGGTGCATCTTAATGTTAACTTTGGACTGAGACGAGTTTTTAACTGGAGATTTGTAGTGGCAGAAGTATCAAAGCCCATAATTGGAGTCGATTTTCTCTCTTTTTATAATCTTATGGTGGATTGCAGGAACCAACGACTAGTCGACGGAGTCACGAACCTGTCCGTCACACTGCCGTCAGAAAACACCACAGAAGTCGTTTCATCAGTGAAGGCAGTGGCTGGAGATACAATATACCATAAGCTGCTACGTGAGTACCCAGACATTACTCGTCCTGCAGGAACACTGAAAGAGCCCAGACATAGTACAGTTCATTATATACGCACGACGCCAGGCCCACCTGTTTCTAGTCGCCCACGACGACTCCCACCTGATCGCCTGAAGGTAGCACAAAAGGAATTTGAAGACATGGTCAGCAATGGCACAGCAAGGAGATCGGAAAGCCCGTGGTCTTCTCCACTGCATTTTGCACCAAAGAAGGATAATGGTTGGAGACCCTGTGGAGATTACCGCGCTTTAAATGCTCGTACTATTCCAGACAAATACCCGATACGGCACATACAAGATTTTAGTCATCTTCTAGAAGGAAGTAGAATCTTCTCCAAGCTTGATTTTTTTAAAGCGTATAATCAAATCCCCGTATTTAGCCAGGACATTCCGAAGACGGCGATCACGACACCCTTTGGGTTATACGAATTTCCATATATGACGTTCGGTCTTCGGAATGCAGCTCAGACTTTTCAGAGATTTTTAGACGAAGTGCTGAAGGGGCTTGATTTCGTGTACGGGTATATTGATGACATTTTGGTCTACTCTAGAAATGAGACGGAACACCAGCGCCATCTACAAAAGGTACTTCAACGACTCAGTGACTACGGCATGCTCATAAATTCATCCAAATGTGAGTTTGGCGTATCTAAACTGACTTTTCTAGGACACGAAGTCTCCGCTGATGGCCTCCAACCCCCGAGCAGTAAGGTAGAGGCAGTGATGCAGTTTCCTGTTCCGAAGAATGTGAAAGAACTAAGGAGATTCCTAGGAATGGTAAATTTTTACAGAAGATTAATACCAATGGCTTCTTCTCTGCAGGCTCTACTGAACGCCGCGTTATCTGGACCAAAAAAGAAAGGATCTCATGCCATTGACATGACCCCAGAGATGATGGAAGCATTCAACTCCTGTAAGTCAGCACTATCACAAGCCGCAATGCTTGCTCACCCGAAGTTCAACGCAGAACTGGCAATCCACACAGACGCATCAGATACGGCTATAGGGGCAGTACTTCAACAGCGTGTAAACGACTCTTGGCAACCACTATCGTTCTTTTCTAGGAAGCTCAAAACATCACAAAGAAAATACAGCCCCTACGATAGAGAATTGTTGGCAATCTATGAAGCTGTCCGGCATTTTCGTCATATGGTCGAGGCCAGAGCATTTATCATTTTTACTGACCATAAGCCTCTTACGTTCGCGTTTTCAACAGGAAGAGATAAATGTTCTCCAAGACAATTTCGCTACCTTGATTATATATCTCAGTTTAGCACCGATATTCGTTACATCACGGGAGCTGAAAACGTGGTGGCAGACGCACTTTCAAGAGTAGAATCAATCAACCTTTTAGACTATGAAGCGCTTGCACGAGCTCAAGACTCAGATCCTGAACTGCAAGAGTTATTACAAAAAGGTTCTTCACTTACCCTGGAGCTAATCCCGTGTGCAGACACAGATATCAAAATATTTGTGATACGTCGCAAGGAAGATCAAGGCCATACGTACCTGCGTCCTTCAGGCGTTCGATGTTTGATTCTCTGCATAATATGAGTCACCCAGGAGTCCAAACATCAGTAAAGTTAATAACACAAAGATTTGTGTGGCCTGGAATAAAGAAAGATTGCTGCAATGGGAATGCGCAGATTGCCAACGCTGCAAAACCTTTCGCCATACTACCTCTCCTACCTCATCCTTTTCCAGCCCGTCTCAACGTTTTTCCCATGTCCATATGGTTCCAGCCCGTCTCAACGTTTTTCCCATGTCCATATGGACATAGTAGGGCCGCTAACCATTTCTTCTGGTTACAGGTATTGCCTCACTGCCATCGATAGATTCACGCGCTGGCCTGAGGCGTACCCTCTACCGGACATAACTGCGGAAACCTGCGCAAGAGCCTTCATTGGGGGCTGGGTAGCCCGTTTTGGCTGTCCCCACAAAATAACCACAGATCGGGGCAGGCAGTTTGAATCAGAGCTGTTCAAGAATCTGGTCAAAATACTAGGCGCCGAGCATCGTCCGACAACTTCGTATCACCCCACGTGCAATGGTATGGTTGAACGTTTACATCGCCAGTTAAAAGCTGCCATTATGTGTCACAATACTATCAACTGGACCGAGGTGCTCCCACTGGTCTTACTTGGTATACGGACTGCGTGGAAAGAAGACATTAGAGCATCAGCAGCAGAGTTGGTCTATGGGGAGGCCTTACGCTTACCTGGTGAGTTCTTCGTGCCTTCCAGAGAAGCCCCATGTGACAGCAGCGAGTTCACCAACCGACTGAGGCGACACATGACGAACCTGAATCCAACACCCGTACACTGGCATTCAAACAAACCATTCTACATACCGAAAGACCTGTATCATGCCGACTACGTGTTCCTGCGCCAAGGTGCTCCAAAGAAGTCCCTGCAGCCTCCATACGCAGGGCCTTACAAAGTATTGGAGAGAGGAGAGAAGTCTTTCAAGCTAGACTTACATGGCGCGCACCCTACTGTGTCGATAGATAGGCTGAAGCCAGCACACATCACTGTCAGCAAAGATGAGGCCCAGAAAGTTCACACTTCCCCAAATACTTCATATTCAGGAGCAGTCAAGAGAACCAGAAGTGGCCGCACAGTTCACTTTCCTGATTACTATCGCCCGTAGCAAGCCACGGTCAGTGATGTAGCGGTCGAAACTCACCATCATTTCGCAAAGTCGGTTAACAAGAAAACCGAACTTCAGCGCATGGGTGTACGCGGCCGTCTATTGTTTGTAACTACATTCACAGAGGAGGTGTGCGGGCGCGGGGCGAGCCAGCGCCGCCGCCGCCAGCTACACACAGCAGACGGCCACGCTCGGCAGTGCTAAGACGATTACGGCGGCGAATGCACGCTCAAAAATTCGATCCGCAAAAA